TCGGTGAGAGCCCCGGGGTGGTCCGTCCCGGCTTTTTTTTTAGGGATGCGAGGGTCAATGGTTTAAGGATTTCGGCATGCACGACTATGGAGTAGCCCCCCCCCCCCCGCCAACACACCAGACCACCAGACACTTCAGTTCTATGAGCATACCAAGTTGGTTGGAATGGTCTGGGGGGGGGGGTGAATAGGTCCGGGCGGGAGCAGATCCCACTGTCTGCTAGATCCCTATTGTCGTTTCTTCCTGTGCGGAGACGCGCCTCTGTAAACGACGTCATGAACCACATCATCACTGACCGACCCGCGTTCAGTTGGCGCTTTCCATTCGTTGTCTAACCTGGGCGACCTGAAATTTGTTTATTTTAGTAGACAAGGCCGATGCCGGGGGGTCGACGGCAGGGAGTGTGAAATGGTAGTTTATTTTGCAGAAGGTCATCAAACATCTGTTTCGGGACAGAGCACCGCTCTGCTTCCCTCTTTGCGTTGACAACAATCAGTTTGTTTGTTAAAAAAGGCTAGTCCCTGTACCCCGTCCATTCAATACAGCGAACAAACGTCTCTCAATCCTGCTCGGCCAGTAGGATGGCGAATGCCGTGGGTAGAGTATAAAGCCCCCTTCGCATTCCATTTGATAATACAGTGGCACGACAAAGCCGCGGAACGCAGCACCGTGTATGTAGCCGTTTCCCACCAAAGCACAGGACCAACACCCCTTGGAAGCTCGAGAAGCACCGTGAGATGTGAGATTTGCGGAGTGCAAGTTGCGCATTGCATCACCAACGGTTGGGCTTCAGGACCGTTCCCACATCGAGTACATACCCCGAGAATAACCTAGAATGCATAGATACAATAGCTCGACTCCTCTTCTATTTACTCGGCTGACGTTATTGAGGGCGGTAGGAAGGGTGGGGGGTAACCTTGCATAGCCCTAGAATATCACCACCACCGGGGGTGGGGGTGGGGTGGGTGGGGAGAGGGCTACTAAGGCGGTGTGCACCTCACTCACCAACTTCTTGTCGGCTTCCAACTTCTTGACTAGATCGCTGTTCATCCGGTATTCCGTGTCGCTCATGTCAAGGTGAACGCGACGGGCCCTCGTCTCCTGCACTTGGATCTCGAGATCCTTGCGGTACCTGAAAAGAGAGAGGTATGCGGCGCTATCAACTTCAAGAAGCTTGGTGGTGGTGGTGGTGGTGGTGGTGGTGGCGTTGTTTTCGTCGTTTTTAATGACAATTTCGTTTGGTCGTTTAGTCGTTTAGTCGTTATCGTGCTTGCTTGTCATCAGCATCGTTTGGGAATTGACAGCTAACAACGCTATATTGCGGCAGGTGCGCAGATCCTGGCATTCGGTGCTGTTTCCCGCAGTCGGTCTCCTTGATTTCGTTGAAGCGTTGGCGACCTACAAGGTGCAATTAGTCTGTCTGACGCCTCTTGGCCACATGAACTAACCAGACCCCCAAAACGCTCACAATACTGCGTGGTACATCGCTACTCACAGGCGCGATTCTAGGTGTACCCACTCTTTTGCGGTTGTTGCTGCTCTCCGCGTGGAAAGTAGTTTACCCTCCGTCCACCATATACGACACCTCGTACACACCCAACACTGGGTAATCCATTCGGAAAACCGCGCGCACGTACAACTATTATTTGCAACACGTAACCCTAACCCATCATTATTTACGTACTTCGCCATGGCGATTCTCTTCTTGGTGATCTTGTCTCTCTCCTCCTGCCGGTACGCCTCCGAGTCGTTGATAAACCTACGAGAGAGAGAGCACATCCAAACGTGTGTGCCAAAAAACACGCCCACAGGGAATTTTCTAACCGTCGTCAGTGAGATGCAAGCACAACGAACCATTTCTTGGAACAGCGTGCTTGGGTTTTGATGGCTAGCCTTGTGTATCCGATGGTAACCCCAACATATGCGCACGTATTTACCAAAGGCGGCAACGACGTCCCGCGAGGAACAAGAAGTAATTGTACCGCCTCCCTCACCCCACCGATTTTGTTGGTATGTCAGACACCCCTGAGGGACTGCAACTGCAAATTGACGTGGCGAAGAAGTTTACTGATAAGGGGAGATTGTCTGCCAACGTTAAGGAGAGTGCCGTCATGGTATGCAACGAGGACAGGGAGGAACCAGTAGAATATAGATGGAAGTGGGGCGTCGAGGAGATTGCAGTAGTGGACCAGTACACATACCTCGGAGTAGAGATCGTAAACGACTGCTCGTGGAATGCACACACGTCCAAGGTAGCGGAAAAAGGGCAAAGCACGAGCAGGGAAGCTGCACCCAATACTCGCAAACCGGCACCTCGATACACGCATCAAATTGGCGGTTTTGAAGAGCGTATTCGTACCGCCGCTAGAGTACGCCGGAGAAGTATGGGAAGGGAATAAGAAGGTAGTGAAAGAACTCGAGGCGGCAGATGAAAGCAGCGAAAATCATCCTAGGATGCTCCAAGCGCACAAGTAATGCAGCCGTAAGGGCAGAATTGGGGACCCAATCCCTACGGTCGGGAAGAGACGCAAGGAAGCTGACATGGTAGTATCGCATGTGCGGGATGGGAGAGGAGAGGTTGCCGAGAATAGTATGGGAGGCGAAGTGGGCAAACAAAAAGAGGAGTAGACAACCCACGGAATGGGTCAAGGTTGTAGAGGACGTATGGAAGGGATTAGAAATCGACGAAGATGAAACGCTGGAAACGGAGGGTCTACAGGGGTTCAAGGAGAAGATATCTGTTGCTTGTGCCGAGAGAGAAGAACAGAATCCAAGGAAAGAAACCGAGGATAAGGAGGGTCTAGAAGTGTACGGAATGTTAGAAGAAGGAACAGGGTTCAAGGATTACCTACATGGCCCAATGGATGCAGGGACAAAGCGTAAGGTCAATTCAGGAACGGGGACATAGGCCTTCGAGAACGTCGACGAAGACATAGGACGGTAGACGACGAAGACGACAAGTTCAAATGTGATTGCGGCTTCGAATGCGAAGACCGTGTTAATGTAGTCGCGGAATGTCCGTGGTACGAAAAGGAGAGGGAAGTGTACATGACTGAGCTGGGAAGAATACAAGGGAGGTACAGGGGGATGTTTGAGGCATGGAATAGAAAGGAGAGGACGGTAGCTGCACTGGGGAGTAGGAAGTGGTTTGAAAAGGCGGGAAGGGATATCGTTAGGATAGACAGACTAGGGAAGACATTTTTGAGCCACCTTTGGCAAAGTAGGAAGGAACGATTGGCCCATCGGTGATCGGTCCTGTGGGAACAATGCTCCGTCCTCTCGAGGACGCGTGGTCAATGGTCTAACCGCTAAGGCATGCAAAACATAAGAGTACGCCCCCCCCACCCTCACCCCACCCTAAATCGATAAAAACCACCCTCCTTCCGCTCGCTGTAGACAAACGGCGATGTCGACGTCGAAAGGCACGCCTACCTTTGAGCGAACTCCATGTCTTCTTTGTGCTTCTTGGCGTTAAGGGCGTTCTTCTCTTGGATCACCTGGTGGGGTCGTTTTCGAAATTTGAAATTTGTGCAGTATTTACGCAGATGGTTCGATTTTCCTGTGGAGGGTATAGTGATGGTGGTTGTGGTGGTGGTTGTACTTCCAGAAAGCACGGCACCTATAAAGCAGTTTCTAGCTTACGCTGGGTGCGTAGCACCTTTTGGTTTTCTGCAGCCATCACCATGCCAGCGATACGCCTCGCTTCCCTCTCCTTCCTCTCGCGCTCTAGCGTCGCCTCCTCCTTCCTAAACGTACGGTAGGCAAGCAGCATGTTCACAGGTAGGTATCGTTGCTGTTTTTGGCAATTTACGTGTCCTTTCATTTCAATAAGCTTCTAGTTCGCTTCATTTGTTCGATACTTTCAGAGCCGCCAGCCCCCTTCGTTCCGTTTTTTTTTTATGTTCTTGCCTGCGCGCAGCCTTGAGAGTCTGCTGGGCTTCGCGCAGCTCAACCTCTGCTTCGGTGTTGCCCGCCTGGCGCTCGCTCCAGAAGTTCCCGATGTCTTCGTACCGCTTCATGCGTTGCTATTTGTTGTGAGACGAAACACAACAACAACAACAACAACAACAACAACAACGACAAACAAGGTGGGGGTATGGTGGAACATTAAATTGAAAACGAAGGCTTTAGAGTTATCGGACACTCTTTGGAACCATGAACAATTTCTCGACTCTGTTGTTTGTTGACAGCGGGGTCATCGCCCCTCGTCGTTGTCGTCGTTGGGGCTCGAGGAAGAAGGTCTCCCGACCCCCCCGTGCGTGCGTGCAGTCAGTGTGTGTGACGTAGAACTTTTACAAGGCGTCGTCGTCATCGTCGTTGTGTTTGTCGTCGTCGTCTTCGCTGTAAAAACCCTCCGATCTCTGCTCAGTACAGTACTTTCTTCTGTCCAGTTGACGCGGACCCCTTCCGTAGCCACAGGATATATTCCCAAAAAGAGTACACTTTGAACCCCAAACAGAGAGCATGAAACGACCTTTTGAGGTTCCCTGCAAGAAGGTCTCATCCCCCTAAGGTAGACAAAAATACGACTCATACAAGGTGAGGGGGAGGTGGGATGTGGAGGTGGCCTTTAAAGGTCTTGTCTCCGTCTCCCCAACGTCCGTCGAGGAAAATCAGTTCCTCCCTCTTTTCATAGGCCCAGAACAATCAACAAAATACGAACGTAGAACAGTCAGATGTCGCAGGCGACCTAGGTGGACAAATAAGTATGTTACAATAGATAGCACCAGCAACTATTTATGATCACTAGAGATGTGTTCTGTGTTTGCGACGGTGGTATGTAGTTCGTGCTTACATGAGCAACCCCGTGGCGTGGGTTATGGTAAGTGAGTGTGAAATCTAAGAAGGTCGGGTTGGTTAGAAAGGTGCGACAGGTGTTAGAATGATAACGAATACGAAGACCACCCGTTAATCGCCCACAAGAACGTGTTCGAGCGCCCTGACGGGCATCGTTCGGGCAACAGCATCATGATGATCGAAACCGAACTACCGTTGTACATAAAATGACAGGATATGAACCAAGTCAACGTGAGTTCAACAACTTCGAAGTGCTCCTATCTGCACCTTGAGCTTGGCTGCGCGAGCCTGCTCTTCTGCGTCCATCCTCTGACGGTGCTCCTTCAGCAGAAGAGCGTCGGCCGCGTCCGATTCTCTTACATCAGTTAGCGTTTTTCGCGTTCGTTCGCGGTGGGGTTAAGGGAGGTCGTTTCTTTCTGTTAGATTTTCGTGTCACTAGCAATATAATATTGGCAGAGAACAGAGTTATAATAGCATGGTTATTTGTAGCATACACATACGCATCAGAGGGCGTACGGTCGACGTCAGCAATAGGCATAGGATCCGAGGGTGAACAAGGAACATCGCTAGAGATATTTTCTACCAGCGCCATCACTGGCAAAAGCATTTGCATATCTCCAATATTGCACGAGGAACATGATTCCCAAGTAGAATGAATGTAGTATTTGCTAAAGAGCCCGCACGCGACGAACAAGGACATGGCCGCCACTTTCCGTCTCTGAGGACGTAGGATAAAACCCAAGTGTTCTCCGAGATGCCGTCGAGAATCATCTAGTATCATTCGATTTTGGACGCATCACCGTACCGACATACTCAACCGTAACACATTTCGTTCCTTCTTCATCCTAGGGGTCGTCGGCATTCGTGTGAACACCAACATTTACCTCGCATGTACGAACGAACGAACGCAACCACTGGTCATGTTACCTCTGCCTCTGTTCGCGGATCTCTCGCTGCTTGGCGTTCTCGGCTTGAATAGCGGCCAGCCGGTCCTTCTCGCTCTTGCGTTTTCGATCCGCCTCGTCCACCTTGGCACAGGATTCGATTTGTTTGAATACACAACTCTCCAAAATGTTCCTGTGCACTACTGCTGGTCGCATCTTTGTGTGCTCTCTCACGTATTTCCGTGGTTGGAGTTGTTTAAAAGTTATTGTTGTCAGGGATGGCGGGGAAGGCATTGGGGGTACGGGGGAGGTCGCGCGATCATAGCGGTTTTACTTTCTTTCAGCTCATCGTAAAACTCAAGCCAGCCCATCTTGCTGTACAGGTACCAGGTACCGCATGCGGGCGCGTGTGCATGCCGAAGATATCCCCTCTCCAGAGTCTCCGGGACAAGTAGGGCCGAGAAAAGCCGAAACTTCCCCACGCTTCCCACACACGCACACCCTCCCCTTTTTGTTCTTGCCGGTTAACTTTTTCAGGACAGCTAACATACGGTGACGTACCGACCCTGCTCCCACTTTCCGCCCCCCGAAATGACCCCCTAACCACCCATTGCACGCATTCCCAAATGTTGGAGGTGTCTCTCTATCGCGAGGAACAGAAAAACATTATTCGTTTGACTCAGGTGCCCGGTCGAAAATGACTAAAGACGGCGGCGACAAAACGGCCACGTCCCATCCTTCCGTTCCCGCCCCGCACATGCCCGCTCGCTCATCAGTTCACACACCTCGCCCTGCAGCTTCGCCTTGCACCGCTCAATATCGAGCATCTCTTCGTCCAATCGGGCTTGCCGCTCGATCTCCTTCTCTGCCTGAAGGAAGCAAACAGTAAGCAAGCAAGTGAACGAGATATTTGCGGGTGATCTATGAAACCACACGTGTGGTATTAATCGAACGGACTAGTGCAAGGGCTAACCAGCACTACCTAGCGCCAGTGCCGCAGGAGTAAACGTAGTCGTATCCGTGACAGCAGCTGCAGCAATAGCGGGGTGGTTTGAAATGAAGGAGTAGACGCTGACGTTCGTTCCTTGGTTTCTCTCAAGTATGCCACCACCGTCTGATCTCTGACCTATCTACTCCGGGCCTACTCCGGTCCTATTCCAGTCATTAGACGGGATACACGTATGAGAATGAGGTCCAAGCGGGTTTGGTGTAAAGACGACGACACTTCCAACAACAACGATGTAGCAAGCGGCGCCACACAAGACAAACTCCCTTTCCATCACATAAGCGTCCACGTTTTACCTGTAGGCGCTTGACCTGTTGCTCGCGGAGAGCCTTTTCCTCAGCGTGCTTGTCGGACGCCCGTTTCTTTATCGCTTCCTGCTCCATGTGAAACTCCGCGAGCTTCCTCTCTTGCTCCTCCATGTACCTCCTTCGTTGTTGTGTGTGGTGGTTTTATTAGGTGTGTGTGTTTTTCGTTGTTGGCGTCGTTTCGCGTTTTAGGGGGGGAGGGAGGACACGGGGGAGAGGACCAGCGAGGGACGGGTAGTGTTGGGGGTAGGCAGTCAACATATTTAGTTCTGCTAGTGGCATCTGCAGCCCTTCGTACGAGGTTGAAACTTCGTCTAGCTCCTTTGGTGTTGTACTGACTACAGTACGAAACTACTGTAGCGGCTCGGGACCTTTCTCCTGCCGTCTCTACCAGGTACTTTCTCTCTCTCTCGCCGCCTCCTCACCGTCTCTCTTCTTCTTCCACGGCTTTCTTCTCTGCCTGCTTTGCCCTGTGTACTTCCAGCTCCTCTCGAAATCTGAAGAGCGAGAGAGAGAGAGAGAGAGAGAGAGAGAGAGAGAGAGAGAGAGAGAGAGAGAGAGAGATATCAAAGAGCCACGGCGCGCGGCGGCAGGCACGACAACAGCAGCACAACAGGCCGTCGTGCCATCGGGGTCAAGGCCGAAAGGGCAAACGATTGCGCAAGGAGAGGAACAGAACAAGATAGGATGCTTGACACCTGGCTGGTGCTGTGGTTCGTGTGATGCCACCCCCCACCCCCACCCCTCACACACTGCTCTATTTTTACAACCGTGTCAGGGGTCATGGCTACATCGTTCGTGTGCACACCCGATCAAGTCGCGAGGCGACATGCGTCTTCTGGTTGTGCTGCTGCAGCACTTCCGTGAATGGACTTTGTACACGATTTTGGACACTTTTGAAAATAGTCTACTGGTAGATATGTTCCTATATAACAAACACCTGGCCTTTGGCATCTGATTCTTGACGGGCTTAATCGTGTCCGATATTATTGTGCTTGCTTTTACGCATGAACGCTTTACTCGGTCGAGCAGTTTGCCGCTAAAAAAGAATATCACTTACATAATCTTTTGCTGCTTGGCCTTCTCCGACTTCTGCTGCTCCTTCGTCTCGTACTCGATTTGCTTAGCCACATCGAATGTGCGCCAAGCTCGGGCGATAGATGGCGGCAACAAACCGTCGCCAACATCGTCAACACCCCCAGCGCTGCCACCCGGGCTGTTTTCGTTGTCCTGCTTAAGACAATTCAGTGGCGCGGGGGGGGCGGGGGCGGGTTAACGGGTATTGATGGTTTGCCATTTGTTGTTAGGCTTAAGCCATTTGATTGAACAGGCATGTGAGGGATCGCACGGGGCTGTTGATGGTGCACCGGCATGCCTTTGGCACAACATTTCGCACGACAGCCTCGAACGGCGATGGTGAGAGTTCGCCTCACCCACGAGGGCATGGGGTGGACAAGTCTGAAAAGTTTGCACGGTACACCTGGCGGACGCCAATAGTGGAAACCCTCGGTGGCAAACCTTACGAGCTCCCCCTTGCATGCATGTGTGAGGTGACACCAGGAATCTGCGGCAATATTGCAAAGGTACTGTTTAGAGTTACCCTCAACTACTATCTGAACGTTTTGACAAACCCATCGCCGCCCAAGCACCCTATTTTCTAGGTACAGTACCATTGAGAAACGGCAAACCGACACTGGCAGCGTACGTTCAGCATTGTTGTTCACCAGCTGGGGGGGGGGAGTCAGTGTGGTCATGACCCACGCCATCGGTATGCTGATCGGACCAAGTACTGCATGCTAACGCACCAAAAAGAACCAAAGACAGATATTCGAACAACGCGGTCGAACGCTTGGGAGATGCTTTACCCTTTATCTGACTCCGACTACTGTAGTCTCGCTGTGGTAACTAATTCACTCACCATCCCTGAGCTAGTGCATCCGGCGCCCCCAGATGCAACGCTGCCGCGCGCGCTATTGCTGTTGCGTCTACCTCGGCTGCCCGTTGCACCGCCGCTGCTGCCGCCGCTGCCGCCTCTCTTGACGTATTTGGCACGAAGCTCTCTGACCGCGTTCTCCAGTTCTAGAAACTCATCGTCCGTAGGCTGTCGGCTGGTGCGTGCCGTGAATGCGCTCACCTCTTCCTCGATTTCCAGGTTCAGCCTTGAGTTGACGTTCCTGTTGCATCCGTTCCCCCCCCGAACGTCAGTTGTTCGGGGGTGGGGGGGAGGAAGAGGGCAACAACAAACATCTTGAACATGTGGCATACTTGTGATTCAGATAGGTGAAAGCTTAACACTGTTTTTCCATCCACATACGTAGAAAACCCTCAACACAACTTCATCGGCTGACGAAATCCCCTTCACATAAATCGGTCACACATAACTACACTGTGAATTTGGTGCACACTGATCACGATATTTCGGTGAATTCTGTAGTTTTTTGTGTGGTGTTGCTTGCGCCATGATATTCTCAAACGTGAGTATGCAAACGTTACATATCCTATGTGCGGTTGTCAAGAATTGAACAACTTCCGTACTACCGTACTCATCCGCAAATACAAACCGCGGCCTCGTGTCTACTACAGTTCAGCACACTCTGTGAATGAGCTACATTATTATGTACAAGTTGAGATGGAGATGACCGAGAATCCTATTTTTACATTTTAGGCCGCATGAACTTGTACTCGTTGGGTGCAATATACGCCGCATCAAGCGTCAAACTAATGCTTGCCGTATGCCCGCGAGGATCTTGCCCGAAATTCTACATGCCCCTCTTTCCCTACTTCTCTTACACGAACAAAACAACTTCATCTATTTCCTTCCATAGATAAGACTCCAGGACAAATTCATCCCTATGTACACAACTGTAGAGTAATCATGACCTACCTATGTTTCTACCACATTCCTTCCCTTGAGCAACAACAGTGAGTCCAAACGTGTTTGAACCACTTCAACAAACGTTTACTTCGTACCGAGACATGCTCTCCTCACCTCTTGCTCCCATACTTTTGGACCAGCTTCTGCTGCAGCATCGTCTTCAACCGACTCATACGAGCCCTTTCAGCCTCACGCTCCTGCAGGAGTCGCAATTTCTCTCGGCGCACAGACTGCGAAATGTGCACACCGTACATGGCAGGCGTACGCATGCATGCGAAAAATCGTTAGACTTTTGTGTAGACTGACACGGAATACGTGGCTGCTGTATCTTAGTCCGCCCCCCCCCACCTTCACGCTGGACGGAGATCTCTCCCACATGCATCTCCCACTGTACAAACCATGTGTGAAGCTACCCATACCACACGAGCAAGCACTCAAACTTCCGTGGGACGTGCGAGAAAGGATTTTCCCGGGACGAACGAACGACAGCAAGTATCCATCCATCATTCCATGTGTTCATACAGATCATACAACCGAACGTGAGATCGAGCGAGACCGCTGGGATTGCATGCCTCACCGACATGGCTTGCATGTGTGCAACCGCTCGTTGGTGGTGGCACGCTGATCCTGTGCTGCTATATTGTGGTTTGGAAGAGAACTCGGAATGTTCCACGTCGCTGCTGTCTTCTTGGGTTGCTTGTTGCTGTGGCTCCTGCACAAGCTCACAAGCTCGAGAGGGCGAGCGACAAAAAATTGCGCCGCCTGAAAATTGCGCCGCCTGAAACGTTCAATCGGAAAAAGCCGACGTTCCCGCAATAAAACCTCCCTGTGCAATGTATTTTAACGTGTTTCATCAGCGCTCAGATCTTATACCGCTTCGCAGCGGCAACAATACCAGAGCCACAGATTCATTGATCGCTTTCAGTATTCCACGGGCACGTAGATCTATGCATATAGTCTGGTAGAAGGATTGACGCCCACCTCTGTCAATCGAATGGATACCACCACCGAGGAAGGATCTGATTCGCCAGCAGGAGGGGAAGTCAGAGAAGAACAGGAGTTTTTGCGATGGCTTCGGAGCCATGGGGCTGCGATCGACTGCGTGGAGTGGCCGTCGTCGGAGACTGAGAGTGGGGTTCGCGGAGCAGTGGCGAGGAGAGACATCGCTCCAGGGGTGAGGGAGAAAGAAGTCTGAAACGGCAACCACATGAAAGCACGCAACGACAGGAAACATGACTAGACTATTGTACAGCAGTAGGTCCATGACCAATTGCAGCAAGTCTGTACCGTAGACAGCAGTGCAATCTAAGATATTCAATTATTCCGGTACTAATCAGTCTACACACGTAGAATATTCCACAGAAGACGTGCACTCTACAGCGTAACAACGCATATTGAAGTTACGTGTAATTCTGCGTGTTATATGCACATATCATAATCGGCCACAGACCCGATACTTTTGCCCCTACCGCTACTCCAACTTGCAGGCGTAGGTTATGGTGTTGCCGCTTGGAGGTCACGTAAGACCCTTTAGCTTCGCCAACAAGTGTACAAGCGCCGCAACTCACCAGATCCCAAGCAAAGACTTTATCTCAATTCCGTATCGACGCTGTCCGTTTTCGCCATCGACATGGTCACGTACGGCAAACGACGCAACCTGATGCCCTAGCCTGTTCCCCGACGTTTTCATTGAATGCAACTAAAACAGGATCACATGGTCATCATCCCACACGCCCTCATGATGTCCGAGTTCCACGCCAAGGCCGACCCGAAATATGGCCATGTCCATCGTCTCAACACCCGCCTCCTGGGCAGCGACAACGGGCTCGCCCTCTACATCATGCAGGAGATCTTGAAGGAGGAGCGGTCGTTCTATTGGCCCTATCTTCGCATGCTACCCACCCCATGCAACCTCCGGAACTGGAACAGAGAAAGCCTGCTCCTCCTGCAGGACCACAAGCTAGTTCGAAGGACGGCCGCCAGGAGTCGGCAGCTCCTGGCTCTGTACCGCGAGACGATCGAGTTTCTATCGAGCAGCTACCCGGAGCTGTACACGGTGAGTCGAAGGTTCGACTTTTGGTATCCAGAGTCGCGTTTGGTGCGCTTGAGATGTATGGTGTACCTATCCATGCGCACGGTGTGTAGGCCACACGCACGTCCGGCAAAGCATGAAATAGTCGATAATGTCGGACTCATTATTGCTTCTCGCCCCGCATATCGCAAGCAACGAGACAACCCCATCCGCGAATTTGCACGTGGCTCTGCGTTGTCCCCTTAACTAGCCAGGGGTTTCATGTCCCCTCTACCTCCGTCGGTGCCCTCCCCCCCCGGGAACCGCCAATGCTGTCAAAGGCTGACCGGTACACGTTCGAGTTGTTCGATTTTGCATGGAGAACCATACAGGCAAGAGCCTTTGGAAAGCGACTGAAGAGCTCGGCTCTTGTGCCGTTCGCGGATTGCCTTAACCATGGCAACGTCCAGACCAAGTAAGCAAACACGTGTTTCCGTACCGTCACCAAAGCATGCATCTCATACTGCAACATGCAGTCGAGAGACACTGTCGTCGACCCCATTGCCTCGATCAACGGTACCCCCCCCCCACGCCGTCCATCCCAGTCGGGGTTACGTAGCACACGTATGTGGGGCTTTGCTTTCGTGTCCGTAGCGTGTTGACTAATGTCTCGAAAGAAACAGGCTGCTCACCCTTACCCTATGCAGTGCAGGGAGCTATGCTGTACAACGCTATTGGTTGTCTACGCCTATAAGGGTAACCTCTTGCCATGTGAACCTGACAATCCTGCAACAAGGTATGACTTCGACGTCGGAGGGAATGGAACCTTTCGGCTCTTCCCTTCCGGCAATAACCGCTACCCGAGGAACTCTGAGGTTCTCAACAGCTACGGTCGGAGGGCCAACGACAATCTTCTTCTCGACTACGGCTTCGCGATGCTCGACAACGAGTGGGATGCAGCTGAGGTGATTTGCTCTCTCCCTCCGTCCCACGACCAATCGCCGCTCGACAGGAGAAGGAAGGCGTGCTTGCGCGCGAGCGGGCAACACACCGTTCGGTACGTGCTGTCTGCGTTCTAGATATCTTTGAAGTGTCCGCTGTTTCGGCCTCACACAGAATTTATCTGGGAAAAGTGCTCGTCTTCGCGTTGGCTGGCGCTCACAACGCAACGGCCTCGCTTCCTAGGACAACAGACTTCGCTTGGGTGGGCGACATGAGCGAGCGGGGCCGCACACGGCCAGGCCCAGTGGGTGCCGCCGCCGCCGCCACTGCTGCTGCTGTTGCTGCTGCTGCAATTTTCACCGCTTGCTAACACTTCATCGGTTGTAGGCCTCTGCACGTCAGTGTGGAAAGCAATGAGGGTAACATGCGTCGCTTCATGACCACCATATTTCTACCCTTTCCGCATGCATCGCACAATCGGTATTAGTATCACTTCTAGCCCATCGGCCGAACTGTGTCTCATCCCCCCCCCCTTCCCCCCTGCCACCGTCTTTCGCCTGTCCCATTGCAGAATACTCCGGGTGCGTCGTGACGTCTGGCCAGAGGAGTTGCTACGATTTTGTCGCTGTGCGTGCCTCACCGCACCCGAGCTGGACAACCTCGAAGCACTGGGAGGGCAACAGGCAAGAATGGCATCGCAGAGCAGACCTTCCGGCGCGATGCGACCGCGAGGTATCGCCGGCACTGTTGAGCCCACCGCCGCGGCGGTACCACCATACCAGGACCTGTGTCGGTGCGCTCGGCGCTCTTCAAAACAGGCAACAAGAGGCAGAGCCGAGTGCGGCAGCGGCAGCGGTGGCAGCGGCGACCGCACGGCGACCGGAGGGGCTACTGCAGCCCCTCTATCTTCCTCATTGCCATCATGCGAGAAGGCTCGTGAGGATACCATCAACAACAACAACGGCGATGACGATACTCTTCGTGAAGGTCTATCTGTACACGCGTCCAAGTGCACCCTTCCTCTGCGAGACGAACACGAAGAAGGAAGCGGGGATCGAGGGGATCGAGGAGCCGGAGCCGGGGCAAAGGAGGAGGGGCAAGAAGACGGCGATGTCCCCAGCGGCGCGGGAGGAGCAGGAGAGAAACGAGGAGGTGTAGACAGCCCCGACGAAAATCCCGACGCCTCAGGCTGTCGTTTCCCGTGCAGGGCGTTGACGGCGCAGAACGAGGTCGCGGCGCTCACCGAGGCAGTCAAGTACCTCGCCCAAGCCAGGGACAACTACCCAACCACCCTGGAGCACGACGAGGCAAGTACACCCCGTCGCACTCTGATTTTCGTTTCTTTTCCCGTCCCACCAGTCTCAACCTCGCGGCATGTCCATGTTTGAACCACGGAGGGGATACTACGGTCACACACCTGGTTTCAACACCGAGGATATCCCGGGTCAATCACGATGGGAGCTCGACAAAGAAGCAGCGCAAGAACTGAAGATTTGTTTGTAAATTTGTGCCCCAACCCTAGCTAGCGCCCGACACTCGAATCTAGAGGCACCACCAGACCGGATTCACCGAACCTACCAGAAGCGAGAACAAGTCCCGTCGCATATATGTCCTGTGTCTTGTTCGACCTCAGAACGCGTACCGGGAAGCACGAACATCACCGGACTCGTCACCGGAGCTGGCAACAGCGTTGATCTACCGAGTCACGGTCAAGCGGATTCTGGCGCGGCAACTAGAGATGGCCGAAGCAGCGAATGCGTTTGTTCAGGTGAAAGAACAGGGGAGTTTTATTGCCTCCGTGTGTGGTGTGAGCGCTCTGCCGGCTGCCCTTGCCTATGGCACAGAGGTGTCGCCTTCGGCCGGTCACGCGGGCGGCGCGATATGCGCCAACAAGTACATGCCACCAAGAATTGCCGCATGATTTGTGTGGGCACACTTACGGGATGACAGTCGAAATCCAACCACCCTTTGCCTTCATCCTTAGCGCGATACATCCCTCTCTCCTGCTGCTGAAAACGCCCACCTACCAGAACATCGCTGCTGTGCGGGATCAGTTTCAGTCCTCGGACGAGAATGGCAAGGGCGCCGGGCACGAGAATGGGTCGTCAATGGTATCTGCTCCGGTTTCTTCATCCCGCTTGGACCATCTCCTGGCGTCTCCGCCTTCGCCACCGTCACGCCTGTCGTCGCCGCCGCTCTCAACCCGGGCATCATCGACGACCGGCGGCGGCATCGAAAACAAATGCCACCAGCATCACCTTCAGAGCCATCGTTTCTCCCTGGCAACAGGGATCGATTCGCCGTCCTTCGTATCGTACTTGGCGGACGTCGAGAGCGTGATAGTCTACCAAAGGGAAGCTGCTACCGCCGCCGCTGCAGCATACCAACCAGAATGACTAGGAGGCGCTTTTGTCACCGCAGTGTGCAGCAGCGGAGAGGTCAAAAGGGCGGATTTAAGAATCCAAGCATTGTTGAACGAAGAAATATGGTCGTCCCCGGCTCCTGTCAGATGTAGAATATGTTATGTAGTGAAAGCTCGTGTAGGTCGACAGCGATGGTAGAGGTTGTGGTATTTGGATAGTTCCAAACATATACATTGTCTTGTCTCAACTGTAGGATTGGACCGACCTTGTTCTAACTAACCCTCGCGCAGTATTCGTTCAAAGTGTGTGCGCGGTCTCTAGAATAGACATGCGTGCACCATGTGCCACAGCCGCAGATGTCAATTTGGAGTGGCGCGGTTGCTTCGTTTCATATCAATACGTCCTATTGCAAGGGTCGAAGGGATAGCCCAGGTGGGTACATAAATGTGTTGTTGTAGCCGCTATTCTGAACGCCTGGGTCTATACATGTTTCGGAGAACTGGTCAGGCGTAACGGCCGGGTCGCACACAGACAAGAGTACTTCTGCGAATCATGATTTCAGAATACCTCGCAAGAGAGGTCCCGCAATCCTTTCCCTTGTCGATTGCTTGGGTATTCTAGAGTTAGGCACCCTCACGAACATGCCTGCGTTTTATGCGCAATGTCGCCCGTTGAGAAGTTTGGAAGGTACCGTTGCCCGTGAGAGCACATTTTTTTGTTGCTGGATACTGCCCAGCACGTCATACATCCCCCCCCCCTTTTTGACTCCCCCCCCCCGATGTTTGCCATCGGGGTTTGGGTTTTCGTCGCTTGGCAACGACGTTGTAAAACATGCCGCCCCCCCCGGTGTTTGTCATCGGGGTTGGGTTTTCGTCGCTTGGCAACGACGTTGTAAAACAAGCCAATTCACTCCGTGAACTCGGCAACCAGGTTACCGTTTTTTTTTTTTACCTCGGTTTTTTTTTTGGCGGTAACCATAATGGTGGTCGAGTAGATCATGTTGTGCGGGGTCGGAGAAACCTCACTCCGCGCAACGGGGGATGATCGTACCACGTTGTGTTAAAATGGTCAAGCTTCCTCGAGGCAGTTACACAGTGCTTACAACTGTCTCTGGAAGTGAAAGCACCAGAAAATAAATTAAGTCATACGTAGCTGTCATCCGTACGCAAGGAAGTAAGCACAAGATGCCGAACACCCTTAGCAGGATGCAGCTCACCCTTCATGCGACTCGCCAAATACCTCACGGCGCTTCGCGCTTGGTGATGTGAGAGCCTGGTCCGGTGAGAACCCGGCGTGCTCCGTCCCGGCTTTGTAGGGATGCGAGGTCAATGGTCAAACGACTACGGCATGCACGACTATGAGTACACCCCCCCCCCCTCTCTGACTAAGCCGCGTCTAAAATTGTAGACTCCTGTAAGACTGTATACTGATTTGTAGAAATGGTTGTTTTTGGTTCGTTGAGGTTCGCTGGGCTGTTCGAGTCAAACACACGTCAGCTGCTGTCGAGCTTGGAAAACGTCACACCGCGGCTAGCAGCCAGCTGTGCGGTGGTCCTGGTCCTGCTGCCTGCTTTTAATTTCATCTTGCATCACCCCTTGATTACACAGTGCTCTCATGAGCCCGCTCCGGAGGGATCACTTGTAGTTTCGATACGTTTGTGTTGAAATAAAAGAAGCAGCAGACAGTGAAGGATACTTGCACTTGTTGCGCATTTTGGGAAAACATGGAGCACTGCTGAAATGTATCGTTCTTGTCAAAAACGCCCCAAAAGATTCGGAAATATTTCCACTAGAATCGGAAATATTTCCACTAGAATCTATCACGTTTGCCCTCGCCCAACATTCCTCCTATTCTAAACTACAGGGCCAAGAGGCCAGACCCTCTGTGACCTTCCCGTGGCTGCTGCCGTGCCGGGTATTTCTGTATTTCTTGGTTGACGACGACCTCCCCCCCCTCACTCGGCGAGGCATTAATCCAAACACAAGTCAGTACTCTGTCTCGTCCAAAACTTCGTTAACCGTTCGGATGATCGCCGACAGTTCGGGCTTGGCCGCCTGGGTACCGTTGTTGTTCTCCCTCGCTCGCTTCTCGAGCACCATCCTGTCCATACCCGCGCCCATTGACGTCAACACCTGACGCCATACGTCAACGGCAGAGGGGGTCAGAGGGGCCGTACGTTTCGTGAGAATGCTGGTTCTGCTGGCACGTGGGGTTACTCGAATGAGCTAGGAATTGCTCGCGAGTTCAACCTGGTTTCGGGTAGCACGCCAACACACCAACGGAAACATTCAGTTGCAGGCGAGCGTGGATAAATAAAGCGGTCGCTTGGCAATATGCCGCTTGGCAATATGAGGCACGATGGTACTCGTCGTAGCAGGGATCCCAATGTAAGCTTGATGCACCCCGTCGACACCGCCGCTCACCTCGTCCACCCTGCCCAAAACGCCGTCACCCCCGCCGCCTCCACGACCATCTTTAGTCGGTTCGTCCAACAGTCTGGCGCAGAAGCCCACTTGGTGCGATGGCTTGAGGAGCTGATACGGACGGCGGGGGAGCTGTCTCGCGCGAGCGGCGGCCGTTTTCCGGCCCGCCCCGCAATCCTTGCCGCGCGTGAGCTGCTGTTGTTGTTGTTGCTGCTGCTGCTGCTGCTGCTTCTGCCACTGAACGTCTAACGAAGACGTGACCGGGTGCTTCAGCGTGTACCGTAGGGTCGTCAGCGCCATCCGCAGCTTGACGGGGTCCCCGCGGACCATCGGATCGATCGGTCCCCGCAACAAGCGAGTAGACATTCCATTCACGGCGCCCGCTTCTTGGCCTAGCAACCTGCCAACGTCCGCACCAGCTTCATTTTCTCTTTCGTCCGTGGCACCGCCATTGGCAGCAGGTCCAGCGTCGTGGTTGTCTTCTTGTTGCCGCTCTACGCTGGTCAAGAACGTGCAATCCTGCACCCCTATGGCCGCCGCCTTTGCCGCGGACCTGCTGGCGGCCAAGGCCACCCGATTCTTGCTCTCCCTGGCCAAGCGCAGCGTCGCCTCCACGATGTTGTCGTCGGGGGCGTCGCCGTCACCGCTGCTGCCGCTTGGCTTCCGTTCGAATCTAAAGAGCGTCCTGTTCCCGGAGTCGCGGAACGTGCTCGCCGGCGGCAAGCAGCCCTCGTCGACCATCGTGACACCCGTGTCGCAGTACGGGCGCCGCCGACGCCCCCCACCTCCTGCTCCCCCGCCTCGCGTCTGTCTTATTCTGGGAAGCTCTGTGATGACCTCTATAGGACAACTCGCGTAGTCTCCCCGGATTCTTTTGTTGTGTAACGTAACGCACGAACGCGGCAGACGCGACGCACAGACGGGCAGTCGCCGGAGAGGAGGGTCAGGTAATGAACCAGTGTTCCACCAAACAACAGCCAAAATAGCGGCGTCGACGACAACAGCGGCTTCAACCATAAATTTTCCCAGTCATGAAGCTGAACGGCCAAACATACCTGTCTGACTCGGCAACAAGCTTTTCGACGCAGAGCCCAAGCGAGTCTTCTCCCGTGGGCCCCGCCAGTGGGTTCCCGTACAGAATCAGCCTCTGCAACCGTTCGAAAAGCACCACCACGACCACGTCGCTCTCGCTGCCGATAAAGTTGAACCCGAGATCGAGTGCCTCCAAAAGAGGGAACGCTTGTTCTGCTATATCTAGGTCGAGGTTGATGCCCGTGAAGTAGTTGAAGGCGAGATTGAGCTCTCGCAAGCCTGGGAGCCTAGAAAGCACCTACGATCGGGACGCGACGAGGGTTAGGAATTGGTTGACATGACACGGAAGACGTCGATGGTCTACCACCTAGTGCCCACGTCGACAAACGGAGCGCGTGAAAAACAAGTTACGCAACGATCTCGTTGCCACAGCCGCGCTCAGCTTACATCAAACACTGCGTCGCTCTCGAGTTGATTGCGTTCCAGCGATAGCTTCTGGAGAACCGGAAAGCGAGCCATGGCCACGGGAAGGTCGACGAGGCCGTTGCATGTGAGATCCAGGTCGGTCAAACTCGGCAGGTGCGTCAGCACCGACAGGGCACCACCCGACAAACTATTGTAAGAGAGGTCTAGACGTCGCAGCTGGCCGTAGCCGTTGCCGCTGTTGCCGTCGCCCCCGCCGAGCTGCAGCTGCGTCAGGATCTTCCGTCCGTCGATGTCGCGGATGCTGTTGCAGGGGAGGCGAAGCTCCTCCAGCCGTGGTAGGTCCAGGAAGCTGTCAAAGGGAAGGCTGTTGTCTCCAGCGTCAACGGCCTGCAAGCGGACGAAGAAGGACATGTCCTCCCTGACCACGCTTACGAGGCCTCTGCCGCTCACGTCGGCCCTGCGGCCCTCGTCAGGGAGGTCGCACCCGCATGCGTCCATCAGCATAAAGCCGTCGAGCTGCTTGGGCCGCGTCCGCCTTCGCTCCTCCACGAGGAATCGTCGGCGCTTCTTAGCGACTTCGACCTCGCGCCGTCTTTCCTCTCCTAACCTGCTCTCGTTGTCATCGTCATCACCATGACTTCTGGTGATGATGCTACCAGGCGGGAATTGTTGTTGCTGCGCGAAGCCAACGGGGGTGAAACCAGGGTTCGCACCACCAAGGCGTACTCCTTTTATGCTGTTGCAGTCTTTTGCTGTTCGAGCCCTAGGGACCTTTAAGTGGTCCGGCGACACCAGGACAGAGGGAAGCCACCTGCAGGTTGCCTGAGAGCCTTTAGTTGCTTGGTGCTGCCGCCTGGGGAGTCGAATCAAGTGACGCGCATGTTTCGTTCCTTCAGCACTCAGCTCAATGTATAGTGACGACAGCATCGTGCGCTCGTGGACACGCGACGGAGAAAGGACATCCACATAAAATAATGGAGGCAACAGACCTTCCTCAACAAAGATGAAAGAGAACATACCGCTTTCGTTCGGCCTGTCAGGTCTGTCGACTGTGTTTTGTATTACTGGCGCGGGAACTTCAGTTGCACATACGACTCTAGGCTGCTGTGTACAAACATGTTTTCCCTCGCACTTGTATCGTTGTCGCTGTTGGACGTTCACAGGCTGCCATTTCCTGGCTCGAGCCGGACTGCCTTGGTCATCCAACACATGCCTCCCTCCCTCGTCCAAGATAAAATAGGAGCCATCATGGGAAGGACCACCGTCAAGGCTGAGGTCGTCAGGGGCACGCGTTGCCCAACCCTGCGTTCCGGCCGCCGAGCCGCCGCCAGTTGGGCCGCTTATCAGCTGAGACGAAGCAGACGAGCTGGTGGTCAGGACCTCGTCGTCATCGCCCCTTGGCGATGCATCACCATTTCCTTCCATGTCATCACCATCCTGTGCTTGCATCATTGTCAGGCGTGAGGTACTTGCTTGTAGCCGCCTGAGGGGTGTCGCTGGGTCTGTGGATGCTGGACGCTGGACAGAAGGAGAGATAAGAGAAAAGAGTAGTAACACGAAACCGTTTTTTTCATTCTGAGAACCGTTCTGAGAACCTCCAGAGAGAACCATAACGTTCGAGCCAACTCAGGGGACGGGTGCTTACTGTCCCCAGATGTTGACAGAGATAGAGGGACAGGGACAGCAAAAAGAACCTAGAGAGGAGAGGAGTCACAAGATCGTCTTCGGTGCCACAAGCTCTGCTGCTGCGACGGAAGCCACGTGAGTTCATTGCAGATGAATGACCGGAAGCTGGCCTCACTCGGCTTGCCTGTGATATTTGATATTGTAAGATAACCGATGCGCTGGTTGCGCCGCAGCAGCGGCGCCTGATGATGTCTGATGTTGTCTACAATAGTCTGGAGCAATAGACGATACTGCTGTAGACTATCTAGACTAGGTGGGCACTTTAAAGGCACGTGGTTCAATCTCGCAAGGTTGTGTGGTGCTAAGGACGACTTTAGTCACCCGGATTCCCCTGACCTTGAACCACCTCTCAAACTCTGATACAGCAGACCACGCCGCCCTGACTCCCATAGTCTAATTGACCTCTCTGCTGTTCAGCCGGCGGAGGGTGCAACTCCATCTCGCCGAGCATAAAACCTGGTTACAGGAGTAAACGAATTGCTCTTCTTGTGCAACGCTGCAACAAACCAACACGCCTTGTACATGGTAGCGAAGTTCTACGTGCCTCGTCTGGGATGTCCAGCGTCGTGATGCGGACTGTAGCAGTAGCAGTGATTAAATAGTCATAACAAGTTGATTTGCATGTCCGGCACCACCATGCCCAGGTTACCACTGTTCCGGAGGTTATACGATAACTTGTTCAACGCTCGATGGCTTCGTGTCAGTACCCGCTGAAAAACTGCAACATGAATCCTTGCCTGCCTAAACCTCCACGACCTGTGGACTTAGCTTAACCCTTTGCTGCTCGACATCCTTGCGCCCAGATTTACACTGGACTTGTGAGTTGATTCAACTTTGCTGTGTTCGCCCCCCTCCCCCCGCATCGTGTTCTACTCTCCCAGGCAAATATCAACCGCAACCGAGTTGTACGAGCTACGTGCAGGAGTAAATGTCGCTAGCGGGGCTGGTCGGGGGCTATGGAAGCGACGATTCAGACGACTCCAGCAACAAAAGCTCATCGTCTGCCAAGGGGGACAAGGCCGACGACCAGGACGGGGGTAGGGGGGCGGGAGGAAGCGGGAGGGAAGAAAAGAGCGCTGGTGCTGCCTCCGGCGGTGGTATCGGCTCGCGCAAAGAAAAGGGTTCCGGTAACAGAAGCAGCAGCAGCAGCAGCAGCGACGGTGACAGCAGCGACGAGGATAGTAGCGATGCGGAGGATGCAGCAGCAGCAGGAGGAGGAGCGCGAAAAAGCGGCAAGGCGAACAGACGAAAGCCTCCGCCAGCTGGCAACAGCGGCGGCGGTAGTGTGCTCCCGTCCGTGAGCGACCTCTTCAGCAGCACGGCGGGGCCGGACTTCCTCAACGCACCGGGAGCCGGCCAGGATTTCATCGTCAAGGCCATGAAAAAGGAAAAGAAGCAAACCGCAGCAGAGGCGACAATAGACGACCCCACCGCAAATGCGGCGGCGGCAGCAGCAGCAGCAACAGCGAAACGGGAGAGGGACGTAGCGGCGGGGGTGGGGGGCACGGCGGTCGGGGTAAAGAAACCCAAGGGAGGGGCGGCGGGACCCGCGGGGCCGCCGGTGGACAAAAGAAAGGCGGCGGGTGACAAGGAAAAAATTTCGGCGAAGGACAAGGTCAAGGGGCAGCGACTAAAGGGACAATCCGGGATCGGGTCGGACTTCCGAACATGGAAGAGCGACCTCGAGATGACCATGAGGCAGCAGTACGATTGAAAATAGTAGTACGGTGTAGCACGTTGTGGTTGAGAGCGTGACGCGGATTGTAGACAAAGTACGAACGCTCGATAGAAACTGGAGTGTTGCAGTAGGAGGTTTCGGTTGGTGTGGATAAGAAGCTGCAGATACGCTTGCTGGAACGGGATGCATGCTGGAGACCGACTGCAATTGGTTCAAGCGGGTCATGACCTTGATGGGGGCCGCTCTAATCCAATACTTTCATTTTTGTGGGACACCCTTCATTTATTCACTCCTGATGAGTTCTAAAGTTTTGGTTGGTTCTCTCGAGCCAAGTGCCTCATTCGGCTTCGTTTTCGATGCCCGTCAGTCTGTTGACATTTGAGTCACAAGATTTTAACGCTTTTCGCGAGACGTTTGCCTGTGCAGCTGTGCAGCGTTTGTGACTCTCGAGGTGCACTGTTGACTCGACATGAGACAAGACCCACGTTGACTATTGGTCAGCTGTATTTCAACAATAGAGCGAGCACGAGCTCGGTGACACAGCATTTGGTGGCTGGGTGGTTCGGTTACTGCTGAAAATTCGTAACCTTGTGTCTAAAGTATTAGGTTTTGAGGAACCGAATCTCTCGGAAATGCAAAATACTCGCAAATCGAACTGAAAAAAAAACACGCAGCAGTCGTGAGTACACACGACAAAGAGGGAAGGGACTGCTGAACGCTTTTCGGGGTAGGACATGAAGGCAGCACTATAGGACAGAATGTGGAGAATTCCTCGTGTGTGACCCCGGCTGGTGGGGGCAAACGCACACCGAAACGTGTACATAGACAGGCCCAAAGATGGACGACACGAGAAGGGAAAAAAGCACGGTCCGGCGGTTACGTCTCAAGAAAGAGAGGACATGTTTGATGCAATATTTCAATATTTCCCCAGAGGGCTAAGTTAAGAGAAAAGCTGCTTGTGAAGAAAAAAAGGAGAATAATACGCCCTGGGACACAAAACTGCCGGAGGCATTGTGACTGTCACTTGGAATCAGATCCGCATGACGGCCGTGGACAGAAGAAACAAACATGTGGGTAGAAGTAAACTCGAAACATGGGGAGGCGTTGATAGAATTACCAAGCAACACAAGAGCACAGCGCTTCAAAGGCACAGCTGCTGCCGCCCGCGATTGCAGTGCACTCAGCAGAGGCTACTGCCATTACCGCCGATTTCCCCATCTCCCTCTTCTACTACCGTGCTGATATCCAACAGCAAGACGAACCCGCAAGCCAATAAATACTGTGTTTCGTGGTCATGCGCTGATGCCCGCAGAAAATGACAACCAACACATACGGAAACAGGTTTGGCGCCCAGAAGTGTGCCCAGCGGCAGAGACACGAGTCGCCCTCTACGCACGACACAATAAGCAGCAGCAGTATTCTCGAGCCCATTCCATTGAAGACCGAGAAATTCTAGTGCAGCCGCCTTGCACACGCCCTGTCTCTCCCGCCGCTTCGCACATCACTTCCAAGTCGCAAGCTATCCCGCTATCTAAAGGACAGCACGTTCGCCGGCTACCAGCGGCGCCTCTCCTCGCTCCGACCTTCCAATCATCTGGCAGCACACACTGCCCCCGACAAAAAAAAAGAAAAATAACGCCACTCAAAGAACTGAAAATGCAATACATACAACAACAGACACACGCTTCAGATCATTTTCCCATCTAGCTTTCTGCCCCTACCCCCCTCCCACAAAAACCGAGCAAATTTCAACTATTTGTTACCCCAGGATACCCCCGCGAACATACACAACATGGAGATTACGACCGCAAACCAAACCTAGCCCGCATCGCGCCACACCCTCACACCGGGTACGGTGGCTGGCACTTGAAACACCAAGAGATGTGCTTCGCTCGCTTGGTCGTCATATCTAACCCCACCCTCTCCATGTATTCCTGAGTGGCGAGTCAGGGCATGGAGACAACAACAACAACAACAACAACAAGAGAATGTAGGGGGTAAGCTGGGTGCGGTCGGCGTGTAAATGGGTCGGGCGAGGTTGGGAGGGGTCCATGCTCTCATCAAGAACAGGAGGGGTCACGGCGAGGAACTTGTTTCGTGTCCCATTTTCCAAACAATTCAAAGCAGGCGGACGTCGCCGCAAAAATGGAGAGCTTATCCCCTAGTTGTTTGAAGTCATGTATGACAGAGTGGGCAGCGTCAAGTGTGTTTCCTTGTGATCCCTTTGAGCCGACGAGAAGATATTTTCTTCCTCACTGTGGAGGCGTTTTAAGTCTACACGTTGACCCACAGGGGGGCGGACAGGCTCGACGTGTCTATACAGCAGTCATGGAGGCGGGTGGGGGGCTGACAATGACAGCGAAAAGGGACAGCAGTGGGAGACAAAAACAGAATAACCCGGTGCCTGCAGGCAGCAGATCGAGCCCTCACATGTGTGCCTAAGCGCCGTCATGTCTGTCTCTTACCATGGAGGTGTCCAACAGCAAGAACGCTAAGGATGGAGGAAGTAAAAAAAGAAAATGCGCAGACGTGGCGAACCCTACTGTTGCGCGTGTGCCATCATGGAGGTCGCTTCTCGCCGGTTCTAAAAATACGCGATATTCAGGTATACTGTACCTGGGCAGACGAGCCATTGCGGGGTATATGCATAAAACGAAGACAACGAAACATCAACAACAGCAGCACAAACTCATGAACATCTACCTCTATTCTAAAACGAAGGCAAAGACAAACAACAACGACAACAACAACGACGACGACGACAACAACAGCAGCAGCAACAACAACAATAACACCCACTCATGAACACCTGCCTCTATTCTAAAACGAATACAAAGACAAAACATTAACAACAAGAACAACATCAGCAACAACAACAACACCCACTCGTGAATGCCTACGTTACCTCCATCGGTCGGACGTCACCGTCCCCGTACAGGTCGAGGTTATCCAACAGCGTCGGCCGGAGCAGGATCTCGGCGCTCGACTCCGGGTACCCGGCGATGTTCTTGACCCGATTGATGATCATGCTAGTGAGGTCGTTGTGCATGGACGGCTTCTTGAACAGCCTGCCCGGACACGGACGAAGCCGTTGTTAAGAATCACCCGACAGACAGACAGACAGCCAGACATACAAGACACACAGACAGATAGACAGATATATAAGACAGACAGACACACATACAAGACAGCCAGCCAGCCAGCCAGACAGCCAGACAGCCAGACAGATAGACATACACGACAAAATAGACGGAGATCGAGCAAAGAAAATACGTCCACCGCAACAATAACAACAATTGCCCCGAACACGGTAAAACGCACACACGATCGACCCGCGCAACACGATACTGTAGCGACACACCTGTTGACCGTCTCCCAGAACTTGGGCGTGTGTCTGCGCACGTAGTGGTGGGACAGCACGTTCCTCGTCGGCGAGTAGATGTCGTAGCCCCACGTCCACATTCGGAGGCTCTCCAGGATCTCCTCGCCCATGAACACCCAAGGCACGTAAGGGTCGAAGGGCACGTCGGCCAGGAAGCTCGAGTGCGCGAAGAAGAAGCCCGCGCCGATGAAGGGAGCGGGACTGTCGTGATGTCACGCCGCCGTCGAGTTTGTTATTGTCCCGTGACGATTGGTTGTTGGTTTGGTTGGCGTGCACGGCGGCGAGGAGGAGGAGGGAGGGGTGCGTTGGAACGAGGAAGAAGACGAGATCGTCGGGCGCGGGGGTGATGCACGACGTTCGGAAACTTGGGGGAAACTTGGGCCTGTTGATTTTTGATTGATGTGATGGTTTTTCGAGCTCACACAGATGCCACGAGCGGGTGAGAGATGCGGGGAGGCTCGGTTCTTGTCTTTCATTTGCTTGCTGCGTCTTCTTGTCGGGTGGTTGCGATCAAATGGGGTTGCCGACTCAATATTTTGACCCCACTCCCTTACATACCATGCGCATGTGCATTCTTCACGTCTCATTTATCTTTCAATCTTGGCCCTTCCAGTCCCGACGAGGCAGAAAAAAAGGGAAAAAAAAGCCAAGGCATCACTCCAGAAATGCTCTAATGCATCCGCCACCCCACGGCACCCGCCATCCATGATGCATCTCATCTCACCAGGGTCTAACCGGTATCTGCTTGTCCTGCTGGAGACCCGCCGTGAGCCGAATAATGTCGTACTCGACGCTGCTCTTTGCGAACTCGGCGCCGCATATTCGGTACCCCGGCTTGTCTTCGAAGTTCACGCCCACGCTCGGGGGGTAGTGCGACAGGACCGACATCGGATACGACGGGGTGCTGGGCACGGCATGAAAAAGACGCAAGAAGAAGACCGGGCAGCAGAGGACTAAAAAAAAAAGTTCGTGTGCGCAACCAATTCAATTCTCTAGCCAAAAGTAGGTAAATTTAGGTGCCTTAACAACTATTGAAACGTTGTCGCTCTTGCGTCTCCTCTCCCCCACTCCCTCTTTGTGCTCCTCCTTTCCTTGCCGCCGATCCCTTTCCCTTATCCCTTATCATGCCGGGAAGGCACTCACTTGTGGATATCGTTCACGAGCGTCGTGTCCCAATGAGGCACGAACAGGCTGTGCGCGTCGATCTGCATGAAGTAAGTCTCGCCCATCCAGAGCTTCGACGCCATGTATCTGAAGGGCCGGGAGACGTGTAAAGACGGCCGTGGCAGAGGCAGGTAGCAGTATTTAGCAGCAGCAGGAGCAGAGCGGCAGGAGAAGTACCACGGGTTAACAACACAGCCAGGGCCAACAACAACTCACACCAACCCGGGGATGCAAAAACACATCACACCATCCGTGCCCGCGAATTAACATACTTGCTTTTTTTCGTGCAACCCGTTTGACCCTCACCACCTCACCACTCCAGAAAGAGCGGTTGCTGTCTTTTACTTATTATCCTGTCCTCAACGTAAAGAAAACAATCCTCGGTGGCGAAAGGCCCAAACCCCCAAACTTGGAGAAAATATCTCCGCTACCCCTCGCAGAGAAGCAGGATTACCAAAAGGTGGGCAAATCAAACTGCGCTTGTCTGGTC